CCCACGGGATCAAGCGTTCGACCTCCTGAGCCCAGCAGAGGGGTCTTGTCCCTGAAAACATGGGCATCCGTCTGCCTCTGGACTATCTGCTGTCTCTGAAGACATCAGGACTCCCTTGTAAAGGTGCGCACAGCTGCTCTCACTGCTTTCCCACCCTTTGCGGAGCTGCACTTCCGTCGTTACGCACCCTTGCGCTACCAGGTTTTGCAATGGCCTCCTACAGCTTTATCTGCCCATTCAACCCATTGCTTCCCATTGGAGCCTCAACCCTGTCCTCTGAGCATTGATGAAATCACCCTTTGAACTGTTGCCTCCTGCTCCCTCTCTCCCCTTGCCATGAAGGTCACCTTCCACGAGCAGTGTAGCAAACGGGGGGCCACGATGGCAGATTCCATAAGGGCAAGGTTTCCCTGGGCTTGCACCCCAAGGTTCTGCCAAATGTCGTATCCTGTCTCAACCAACCTGTACGCTTACCTATCGAGGAAGCCCTCTGGACTGGTTATTGCTCCAGCAGAAAGAGTTCTTTGGTAAGTGTAGCCCTGCCCACCTTTTGCACTGCTCCAGATCTGTTCAGTTTGTGGTGGAGAAAGAACTGAGGGCGCATCGCAGGCAGGGGCTGCTCTGGGCATCCGAAGCTGCCCGTCCACAGCAGGCCTGGGCACATCCCAGAGCATCCCTAGTCCATGGTGGCCCAGGCGCATTGCAGGCAGATGCCCAGAACAGCTCCTGTCTTCAGTGGGCCCGGAAGGGGCTTAGACGGGGGCTGTGGTGGGGAGCTGCTCGAACCCAGCCGTGACGGAAAGCTCCCGGTTAATTGGTTAACTTCATGTTTTACTGGTTAACCAATTGAATGGGATTTTACATGCCTAATGGTTGGTCCATGCCATCCTTTTTCACCTCAGACAAAACCACGAGGCAGAGCAAGGACGCATGGACAGACTGATGGACACTGCTGCTATTTGCACGTGTTATCCCTGGAGGAATTCTGCACCACAAAAATAAAAATTCTGCACCAAAAAAAAATAAAAAATTCTGTGCACGCTATTTTAAAATTCTGCAAATGATTGTCAAAATAACACAATGTAATCGTTCTGGTTTCAGTTAGTTCAGTAACTTATGTAATCACAATAAAATGGATGGGAAAAGGGAGTGGTTGCATGGGAGGAAGTCTCCAAACCACCTCGCCTAACAGGAATTTAGGTAGGCCTGACCCTTTATTTCTAGTTAGTAGTCAACAAATCTCTGCAGCCATACGTCAGTGCTAGGCAACTGACAAACAAGTGAGGGATGGAGACTCACACTCACAATTTATATTGGCTACTGATTCTCCAGAACGGCCAGGAGCAAAGAGTTCACAGAGTCATTTTGACAGAAAATTATTTCAGCTCCCCCCCAAAAAAGAGCCCAGTTCCAATCACTAATGCAAAGCATTTATAAGACCATGCTATTGTTTACAACACCCTGGCAATGTAAAGGCGCATTAAAACTTTTACACCTGTTTTGTACTTTGGCGAGAATTCACAGAGACAATGAGAACAAGCCAGTAAGTAGGCAGGTTGCTACACTCTGCTCTGCGTGAGGGGACAGAACCCGCCCTATGCGTATCTCCTCTCAGAAACACCCCAACGCCCTGCCCGTCCGTGCCAGGCATGCTGCCAGATCAAGTGAGAGAACAGAGTCTCAGTTTCTCTCTCTCGCGCGCGTGCACATGACTGCTCTTGTAGCTTCCATTTGCTTCCCTGTCAGAAGTCATTTTTCTGCAGGAAAGCAAAAAAAATCTGTGGGGAACGTGAAGTCTGTGCACATACAGTGATGCAGAACTCCCCCAGGAGTAATGTGTATAACCCTCAGTACACAGATAGAAACCACGTATCTTGAAGAACCTCCAGTTGTAGATAAATTACCTCTTTTTATTGGCATTAGAAATCACTCTTGTGTCTCTGTGTTAGGAACGCCCTGTGTAGTTAAATGTCTCAGGGAGATCAGGGAATTTCCCCCGCAATGAGACAATAAGGATACACAGAGAAGCCATTGAGAGCATCTCGCAGAGATAAGGAGACAGGATGAGGGGTTTTTTAGAACTGTAGTGAGTTGGAGAGTTTCTTCTGTAATAAGCTATAATAAGCTGACAGCTGATTGTGTTGCATTGTCTGCATTTTGCTGGTTGACCTCTTTGATTTATCTCTCGAAGTGGAGTTCGCCTGTGGAAAAGTGAAGGCAAATCGCATGGATCTCAAATCAGGGGTCCAAATTCGGCTCACTGAGGGGAAAATGGGGAGAAAAGGAGACAGTCCCTGGCAGGTGAGAAATAAATCATCTTTTGTGGTGGAGTTTTTAGGCACTACCCAGAACTGCTTCATATGCCCAGTGAAGCGCTTAGGTCATGAATGAGGGCACTTCTGTAAGCCAACGTTCTCCTTATTTTAGGGGAAGGGTTTGGAGAACCGAAGCCAGTGTCACTTTTGTTGTATTTTGTTAGTCTCACTGCTCTCTCCCAAGCAGTGTTTTTCTTGTTCACCATGCCCATGCATGCACCATCGTGATGTTTGTGCCGGTAACGTGGCAGCAAGCTGGGGAAAACCACTTCTTCAATGCATTGCATATCTCCTGCTGCGCACGCTGGCCATTGTCGGACTATCGCGGGAAGAACTGAATCTTCTTTGTTTTAGGACCGTTTTGTGTTTATAAATGTAAAACGAGCCTCATTCGAGTTACAGAGCTTGCTCTAGTCCAGGGGGTCCAACCTTTTTTTTCTCGTGACCCAGTTGAACAAAATTATTGATGCCCGTGACCCAACGTAATTGGACTAAAGCGTGGGTTCTGGGGATGGGGCTGAGGATGGAGCTTCAGCTTTGGGGGTGGGGCAGGGCTGGGGCTTGTGTGGCTCCCAGTCAGCAGTGCAGCGGAGGGGAGGGGCAGTGCTAAGGCAGCTTCCTACCTATCCTGGGACCACAGACCATGCTGCCCCCAGAAGCAGAGAGCAGCAGGTTCTAGCAATGGGAGTGTGGCGCTAGTGCTGAGGACCGGAGCAGTGCACGGAGCCTTGTGTGCTCTTCGGCCCCCACCCTCGCATGGGGCTGGGCCCGACTCTCGTGTACACTAAGATCCTTTACTCTACTGGGCAGCAGTAAGAGCTCTTAGTGTAAAGGAGAATGAGTCCAAGACGTTTTACTCTTGGTGGTGGTTGGGCTAGTCCATCCCTTGCTTGAGCTAAGCGTCTCCAAACTGAAGGAGCAGACTGAGTCCCCCAGCGGTGTCTCCTGAGCAGAGAGCCCAGCCCCAGCCAAGGAGAAACCTGCCGACTGATTTAGGTGGACAGTGGCTCTCTGGTCAGCATGCTTCTGCCCACCAAACAGGGAGCTTTGGCCTCCGCGATTGCCATGTGCTCTGGTACCCGTGGGGCGGGGCAGACTGCTGCCTGCAGAAGGAACGTGTCCAGTCCAACGTGTCAGAGGTGGGTCCTTCTCTCTCTCTCTTCCAGACGATGCTGCTGGATGGCAAGGGGAAGTTTAAGTGCGGGGGTGTCCTCATCCACCCCTCCTGGGTTCTAACGGCAGCCCACTGCGTTGAAGACAAAGGGCGGTTCAAAGTAAGACTTGGTATGGAAACCCCACCTCCTGCGCTTCCCTCTTTAAAGATGTTACATCCTCCCTCGGGGGGCTGGGCTGTGTCCTTTGGGGGGAAAGACACCAGGTGACAGCGCAAGCTCGTCACTCTGCATCTAGAGCTTGGTTGGCCGGGCAGCCCGTCGTACCTCCCCGAGATTGTACAAGCATGTTAATAAAGGCGTGTGGTGTCCGTTAGCAGCCGAGAGCCTGGCTGTGAGCTACGGGGGCTGGTACACTGTGTGCTCCCCTGCGTCTCTCCAAAGTGAAACAGAGGAGGTGACGTTCCCCCACTGGACTCTGGGAACTGTGGTGGAGGAGCCCCCACTTCGGAGCTCTGCTCCCATTCCCACTGTGCTTGCAGGGCGCTGGCCTGCACCCCATGCCCCAGGGCTACGGAGAATGCTGCTGCTTAGGCGGCACCTCTAGGTTCCTGCGCCCCACTCTGGAATAGGTCATGAGGAAGAGATGTGCAAAGGAATCTTGGTGTAGATCTGGGAGGGGCCACTTAGGCTAATGAGCGGGCTGCACGGGTGGCTCCATCCCAGCGAGAACACAGACTTGTCGTAACCAAGTTGCTTTCCCGGGTTAGGGTGGCTGTGCTAACTACGCTTGCATAGCTAGACTGTGCGGCGTGTGCCAGTTGCCCATGACCGCGCATTGATTGGGTGCAGTGGGTGTGCAGTGTTGCGTGCGGTCAGCCCACACCTCACGTCACGGGCCCTTCCGTTCCAGGGCTGTCTCTTCATAGAACCACTAGGAAAAAACGGAGCCAGGGGGAACCAGTGGAATCTGACAGCCCTGCACACGGGACACACGTAGAACTACAGGTTGCCGCCAGTCGGGCATGCATCCATCTTGCAAACCACTGAGCAGTGTGGCGTGCTTAGAGATCTCCACTCAGGAGAGGGGTGGATTTGAACTAGCCAGGGTGGGGCAGAGTGATTTCCACGGCTCCTCTCCAGAGCCAGCCCATCAAGCCGTGCACATGTCTGAGGCATGGGGAAACGGCCACCAAATTTAACCCCGGATTTCCAAACAAACCCCCCACAAGCATCGTTCCCTTCTCTTCAAATAGAAGCCCTTTGGAGGAGTGTTTTCTCCCTATCTGCTCTGACAGCAGAGGGATAATCCAGCCTCGACCTCATCTGCTTTTTGCTAAGCGTGGTAGATACTTGGATGAAATATCCCACTAAGGGAATCGATGGCCCAAACTCTGAGATGCCAGCATGGGCAATAATACCACTCGGAGCAGCGTTTTGGCCCCTCACCCTGATCAAGTCTTTGAGCCCCTTCCCTGGCGCTCTGTTCTCCAGTGTCTCAAATGCAGCCCTCTCGTCCTTTTCTTTAAGGCCCTTCCGGCTCATCTGCCACTGTCTCATTGCGTTGTCCCACGCTGCACCCAATCAATGCTCTGTGCCAGCAGGGCCGGGCTCTCTCTCACCCTTGTGCACAAGTGAGACTGTTCTCACAAGTCCCTTCACCCTGTCATCCAGGTAGCCCGTTAGGTATGGAACTGCCCTCAGTAAAGCCCTAACGCCGCCATGCTGGGGCGATGCAGTTCCAAGTGACCAGTGGGTGTGCAATACACGACAAATGTAAAGTCTATTGGTCATGAACGTCTTACCATGCAGATTCCAGCTTCTAGGATGGACTAGTCCAGGAAGTCTCCATCAGGGAGTTCAGCCAATCAGCCGCTAACCGTGTGTCAAAGAACTTGTACAAACTTCCTGCTTTTGCTGTGCTAGGGACCCGGGGAAGGCCCATTAAGTATAACACTGTTAAGATATAAAACATGATACAATGTGCAGACTCTTACGGTAAGAGAGCAGGGACAAGTCTGAGCATTCAGCAGACCTGAGTCCTGCCATGGTGTTAAGCAAGGAATGAGGCTCTCATCTCTTTCCACGTTGCTCCTGCAGGTGAATACAACCGGCTGCGGAATGAGGACACAGAGCAAACCATTGTGGTGGACAAGTGCGTGAGCCACGAAAACTACAGCAAACAGAGCTCCGATAATGACATCGCCATGCTGCACCTGTCACAGCCCATCGTCTTCAACAAATTTGTGCTGCCTATTTGCCTTCCCAACAAGAAACTGGCAGAGCAGGAGCTGACGGCAAATGGGAGGCCGATGGTGGTGACTGGCTGGGGCAGCCAGAGTGACGTCTCCATGAATTACTCGGCTGTCCTCAGTTACATTGAGATCCCCCTGGTCCCGTGGAGCGACTGTGCCCAAGCCATGAGGCACGCTGTCTCTGAGAACATGCTGTGTGCTGGGAATCTTGAAGACAAGCAGGATGCCTGTGGTGGGGACAGCGGAGGCCCCATGGTCACGAAGTTCAAGAATACTTGGTTCCTAGTGGGACTGGTGAGCTGGGGAGAAGGTTGTGGGAAAAAGGAGAAGTTTGGAGTCTACACCAAAGTCAGCCAATATCTGGAGTGGATCCAGCAGCAAATTAAACAATAGACATCTCATCTAAGGGCTGATTCTCCTTCAGAAGAATTGGGGTCACTGTGGCTGTATGCTCGTAACAATACAGAGTACAATGTGCTGTCACGCCTCCTGGTATTAAAACTAGAGTACATAAAGCAAGCCTACGTGAACTGTGCACTTTTCCTTGCTGCTTCCCCGTCACATTTGTTTGTAGGGACACCAGTTGTGCCATCACATGACAAAAAGAGGGGACCTGACCCAAGGAGCTTATAGTCCAAGGACGAGATGAGATGGGTGATGTTATGCCCCAGCCTGTAACTGACTTACCTAATCACCGGAGCTGTTTGGGAACTGAGGCGCAAGGCTGAGAATTTTTCTCCTTTTGAGTTGAACAGGTCAGGTGAACATAAGTGCGGTTCACGTTACAGCAGTATAAGACAGAGGTGTTCAAAGCAGCAGCAGGAAATTGGGGAATTGACCCCTTTTAGCCTGGATAGCTAATCCCGTGGAGGTATTTCTGAGATCCCTCAATGCGATATGCCTGACGAGTTTTCTTTTAATTACATTGTAATTGGGAGTTGGTTTTTGTGTGCCAATTAAGGGGCAATTATTTCAGTTTTAAAAGGCAAGATCTAAAGAGGTGCTTTCTCACTAGGGAACCAGTCAGCAATATCATAGGTTTTACACTATCATCACTGGCCAGGGTTACTGTTTCAGCCTTACCATGGCAGGTTTACTAGTTACCTATAGTTCTCAGCTTGCTCCGTGACAGTCAGTCCCGCCTTTCATCCCAGTTTTCACACAGCAGGCTGATTTGTGAGCTAAGTGAGACTTCCCCGCACTCTGTTACTTGCAAAGTCAGGCCAAGATTCCACTCCCGACAAAGCCAACGGACATTTCGCTCTTGACTCCGAAAGGAGCAGGGGCAGAGCTTTAATTCCTAGTTTCTACTGCACTTCAAGATGTCCCAGTGATACCCTTGTCTCCCAATTACTGGACAAAATCTCTGTAGTGGGGTTGGAGATGGCAACCAGTTCTGTTACTTCATTTACAGATCTGTGGAGTCCATAAGAGCCACATGCTCGCCTCCTTGTCAAACTAAAATTAAATATTTTGTAGGCATAGGTCCTGTCTATACTAAAGCCAGAAGGTTGGCTTACAGTACACAAATCCATCTGCACAAAAATAATGTAGCTGGAGTCACCACATCTAAAGCCAAGTTTCAGCGCTGTCCCCACAGCAGGAGCTTGATGGGAGAAAAACTCTCATCGATTTCCCTTACTCCTCACGACTCCAAGGAGTATTGTGGTGAATGGTGGCACTATCAGCATTTGATTTAGTGGGTCTTTACTAGACCTACTAAATCAAATGCCGGAAGATCAACCACTGCGGCATTTATCTCTGCAGCAGTGAGGACATGGCCTTTGTCTTCATTCCTAAACCTTCTAAAATAAATGTTACTGCAGATAGTAATGAGCTTTCAAGAAATCAAACAATTCAGGCACCATGGCAAGTGATAACATCTCACCCATCCTTCCCACTTTGGATCAGGGAGGTGGTGATCCAATTGTAACATCTCTGGACAAATACTTACACAAAAATTCCCATTCAGCAATGCAGTTTTTTAATGCATGTAAGTAGTCACATTGATTTCAGGGGTTAGGGGTTAAGCACATGCTTACGTGCTTATCTGAAGCAGGGTCAGCAGAATATTAGGGAAGGCAAGGACTTGATGCTGTGCTGGACTCCCCTGAAACACACTTTCCATAGACATCAGGAACGTTAACACACATTGCCTGTAGGTAGGGGAATGCTGGACAGTCAGGGATGTATTGGAAAGTAGCCATCCTTCTACAAAAGATCGTCAAACCCCCATTACAAAGAGAGAAGCTGAACTGGAATTCATTTGCAAATTCAACACAATGAATTTAGGACAAAATAAGGATCTCAGCTGGTTAACGCACTACAAAGGCAATTTCCCCTCTGGATACTCACATCTCCATACCAAATGCTATGAGTGACCCACTTCCACCCTGACTTGATGAGCGTCATTCACACAAGCAACTTCTCCCTTATATATACTCCTGCTTCTGAAACTTCCACTCCCATTCACCTGATGAAGTGGGCTTTTCCCACAAAAGCTTGTGCCCTAATAAATCTGTTAGTCTCTTAGGTGCCACAGGACTCCTAATTTTTTCAGCTTCGAGCTAACATGGCTACCCCTCTGAGACTTTGCATAGTGTGTTTTATCTGGGACTAGAGTTAAGGCAGAGGGGGTAACAAAGGGAATTAAATGAAGGATGATGTTTCTTGATAGGAAAACATTTGCAAGAACCCCAGGGAACTTTGCATCTGAGTACAGGGCGGGGGTTGCTACCTACTGAGCTAGCAGGACGGTGTGCTGTCACGCCTCCTGGTATTAAAACTAGAGTACATAAAGCAAGCCTACGTGAACTGTGCACTTTTCCTTGCTGCTTCCCCGTCACATTTGTTTGTAGGGACACCAGTTGTGCCATCACATGACAAAAAGAGGGGACCTGACCCAAGGAGCTTATAGTCCAAGGACGAGATGAGATGGGTGATGTTATGCCCCAGCCTGTAACTGACTTACCTAATCACCGGAGCTGTTTGGGAACTGAGGCGCAAGGCTGAGAATTTTTCTCCTTTTGAGTTGAACAGGTCAGGTGAACATAAGTGCGGTTCACGTTACAGCAGTATAAGACAGAGGTGTTCAAAGCAGCAGCAGGAAATTGGGGAATTGACCCCTTTTAGCCTGGATAACTAATCCCGTGGAGGTATTTCTGAGATCCCTCAATGCGATATGCCTGACGAGTTTTCTTTTAATTACATTGTAATTGGGAGTTGGTTTTTGTGTGCCAATTAAGGGGCAATTATTTCAGTTTTAAAAGGCAAGATCTAAAGAGGTGCTTTCTCACTAGGGAACCAGTCAGCAATATCATAGGTTTTACACTATCATCACTGGCCAGGGTTACTGTTTCAGCCTTACCATGGCAGGTTTACTAGTTACCTATAGTTCTCAGCTTGCTCCGTGACAGTCAGTCCCGCCTTTCATCCCAGTTTTCACACAGCAGGCTGATTTGTGAGCTAAGTGAGACTTCCCCGCACTCTGTTACTTGCAAAGTCAGGCCAAGATTCCACTCCCGACAAAGCCAACGGACATTTCGCTCTTGACTCCGAAAGGAGCAGGGGCAGAGCTTTAATTCCTAGTTTCTACTGCACTTCAAGATGTCCCAGTGATACCCTTGTCTCCCAATTACTGGACAAAATCTCTGTAGTGGGGTTGGAGATGGCAACCAGTTCTGTTACTTCATTTACAGATCTGTGGAGTCCATAAGAGCCACATGCTCGCCTCCTTGTCAAACTAAAATTAAATATTTTGTAGGCATAGGTCCTGTCTATACTAAAGCCAGAAGGTTGGCTTACAGTACACAAATCCATCTGCACAAAAATAATGTAGCTGGAGTCACCACATCTAAAGCCAAGTTTCAGCGCTGTCCCCACAGCAGGAGCTTGATGGGAGAAAAACTCTCATCGATTTCCCTTACTCCTCACGACTCCAAGGAGTATTGTGGTGAATGGTGGCACTATCAGCATTTGATTTAGTGGGTCTTTACTAGACCTACTAAATCAAATGCCGGAAGATCAACCACTGCGGCATTTATCTCTGCAGCAGTGAGGACATGGCCTTTGTCTTCATCCCTAAACCTTCTAAAATAAATGTTACTGCAGATAGTAATGAGCTTTCAAGAAATCAAACAATTCAGGCACCATGGCAAGTGATAACATCTCACCCATCCTTCCCACTTTGGATCAGGGAGGTGGTGATCCAATTGTAACATCTCTGGACAAATACTTACACAAAAATTCCCATTCAGCAATGCAGTTTTTTAATGCATGTAAGTAGTCACATTGATTTCAGGGGTTAGGGGTTAAGCACATGCTTACGCGCTTATCTGAAGCAGGGTCAGCAGAATATTAGGGAAGGCAAGGACTTGATGCTGTGCTGGACTCCCCTGAAACACACTTTCCATAGACATCAGGAACGTTAACACACATTGCCTGTAGGTAGGGGAATGCTGGACAGTCAGGGATGTATTGGAAAGTAGCCATCCTTCTACAAAAGATCGTCAAACCCCCATTACAAAGAGAGAAGCTGAACTGGAATTCATTTGCAAATTCAACACAATGAATTTAGGACAAAATAAGGATCTCAGCTGGTTAACGCACTACAAAGGCAATTTCCCCTCTGGATACTCACATCTCCATACCAAATGCTATGAGTGACCCACTTCCACCCTGACTTGATGAGCGTCATTCACACAAGCAACTTCTCCCTTATATATACTCCTGCTTCTGAAACTTCCACTCCCATTCACCTGATGAAGTGGGCTTTTCCCACAAAAGCTTGTGCCCTAATAAATCTGTTAGTCTCTTAGGTGTCACAGCTAACATGGCTACCCCTCTGAGACTTTGCATAGTGTGTTTTATCTGGGACTAGAGTTAAGGCAGAGGGGGTAACAAAGGGAATTAAATGAAGGATGATGTTTCTTGATAGGAAAACATTTGCAAGAACCTCAGGGAACTTTGCATCTGAGTACGGGGAGGTTGCTACCTACTGAGCTAGCAGGACAGAGCTGCCTCTTCTGTTAGGAATAACCTCATTAAAACATCTAAGCCAAGGTTCCAACTAAAGGCAGCAACCATGATTAGCCACGGCTGTCAGGGGGCGACATTTGCCTTCCCGCAAATGGCTCCTCCGTGCATAAATCTGAGGGTCACCGATTGCAGCAGATATTTGTAGAGGTGACACGTTAGTGTGTCGTTCAAGCCAGGGGATAGCAGTGCACTGCCAAAGAATGGGATCAGAAACCCGCCCCCAAGTGCATAAATGCTACACTCACAGCCCTCCCCGTGAAGCAGGGAAACCGCCGTTAGTGCTGGCTTGCAGGACGGAACAAAACCATTTCTACATCTGGGTGGCCGCAAAAGGCTGCGCCTGCCTCTGTCAATATTTGTGCTCGGTTAAATGATCAACTGCCAGGCCCCCACGGCTGTCGTTGGTGTCCATCCCAATAGCGCGTTGAGCACCTACAACGGTAAGTGATTGTAACTGTGGCCCTCTGTGGGTGTGGGTGGGCTGGTGCCGATGGGGGGGAGGGCAGAGGGGGCAGTTGCCCCAGGGCCCAGCAAGTCAAAAGAGCCTGGTGGCTGCTTCCGCTATAGTGGTGGCACCCAGCGCCCTTTCAATTGCCACCAGAGTGCTGCACAGCGGGGCCTGGTGGCTCTAAGGGATGGGGGTGGTGACATGGCCGCTCTGGGCAGTGCTGAGGGCTGACTGCCCTGGCCCCACCCCTTCTGCCAAAGCCCCGCCCTTTCTGGGAGCATGGATTCCCTCTTCTCCCCCCTCCCCCCCATTGGCTCCCCTGGACTGCACTGCCCTCCTTGTCAGGTTCCCTGTCGTTTGGAGCCTATGAAGAAATCCCCTGGCTGACGGGAAGGTGGCTCGCTAGGTCCCGTCCAGCATTCGGAGCTCACTTGACAAGCCCACCAGGAGCTCACAGCCGCAACACGGCCCCAGCTCGACCAGCCAACATGCAAGCCAGAGCTGGGCCCAAGGGTTGTCAAGGACCTTTAACAGGGCTCAGAGTGGAACTGGCCAGCTCCAAAGCCCACTGAAGTCAGTCAGTGTCTTCCCATGGACTTGGCTCAGGCTCTGCCCGTTGCCACTTTCCTGGGCTCTGACGGCCGCTCGCTTTGCCTTGTGAGTGTTGTGCAATGGCTCTTGGGGAACACAAATGGGGTCAGATCAATGAGACCTCGTTTTTCTCTGCGTTGCCTCCTCTTTTCCCTTGCGTCCATTTCTCTCTCTCTCTGGCAAGCTGGGAGCAGCACGTAGCGGTTGTCCAGGATCTGGCTAGCAATTCCTTCTCCTTTTCGCCAGGCAAGGGTCTGTGAAGCTGAGGATTCTGTATGGCCACGAACATGGCGAGAGGCGCCTCCCTGGCGACACTTCTCTTGCTAGCGTGTTCCATCTATGGCAGCTGGTCGGTTTCATTTTCAGGTAGGAACTTCTGGGCGTTACTGTCTCACCCCGAGAGCCTGCTGTTACAGTTACACTGCACCTGTTTTCTGAGTGCAGATTCCTGAGGGGATATCTGGCGAGAGGCACTTCCTGAAATGCCCAGGCACAAAATGGGTGTTGTTCCTAGTTATTAATGACCTCACCATATCTAAGCTTCCTGCCTGAGCCCCAGTAACGGCCTTGTGATGCCGGCCCTATGGGACTCCATGAGTTAGGCACAGAGGGCCACATTCTTAGTGACCAAAGTTAGGCACCTGAATATGGGTTTGGTGTGATTTAATACAACTGCTCTGCAGCACTCGTCCTGGGTAGCTCTGTGCAAAGGACAGAGTCAGTAACCCCGTTTTTGCAGAGCTGTAATGAGAAATGAAGTGACCTTATACACAGGTCAGTATTAGAGATGGGAACAGAACTCGGGTCTCCTGACTTTCAGCCTAGTGCTCTATGCACCGGGTCCCACGATGCTGCCCGACAACCCAATCCTGTGACTGGAAATGGCAAAAACACCAAAAAGCCTCATGCATCTGATTGCAGGGTCAGAACACATTTAAGTGCTTTAGATCAGGCAGGCAGTTAGAAAATTTACCTCAGGGCTGTCTTCACGATGGAGAAGATCGACACTGTTGCGATCCATCTTCCGGAGTTTGATTTAGCAGGTCCAATAAAGACCCGCTAAATCAAACTCAGAGGGTGCCCCTGTCGGCATCAGTCCTCTTGAGGAGTAAAGGAAGCCAACAGGAGCGTTTGCTCCCATTGGCCTCCTGCTGTTGAAACTGTGTGGAGACTTGAGTTAAGGTATGTTAATTATGTAGCTGGAGTTTGGTATCTTGATTTGATCCCTTTTAGCGTAGACCTGGCCTCAGAGTGACTTCTAGCTGAGACGAGCTTTGGACAGCTCCTAGTTTGGTCAGCAAGAAGTTCCCTTTTTTCTGTCCGGTGAAGCTGTTGATTACAACTCCTACAGTTTTGGAGTTCTTCTCTTACACTGAGACAATGATAACAATCTAACTTCTTCCATTGGGTTCCAAGCTCCTAGGGCTAGTAATTTACTGATGCAAGAACTGCATGATTGTTTCCCAAGGCAGAGGTGCAGGGATACCATGACTTAATTACAGGAGCCTGAGTACTGCTTAACAGCCTCTTATATGGGTCCCCTACTTCGCCCAGTGCCACTGTTCAATGGGAAAGTGACCACAGTCCTTGTGAACATCACACATGCCAAACTGAACATTTGACCTTCAGTGTACAGTCTACACCGGATGCTTTAGACAAAATGGGAAGAGCATGATAGCACTGCCCGAGCAAAGGATAAGTGGGGAACTTTTCACAAGGCGGCATGAAGTCAAGTGGTGGTAACTTCCTTTTAAGCTGTTTCCTACAGGTTCTGATATGGTCACAAAGGGGCTTATAAGCAACAGCTAAGCAGGTGGGTGAGAAGTACTGTAGAATTTCCTCCGCTGCTCTGGTCTATCAGAAGCTCCTTTTTTATCCAGAGTTGTTTTACGGTGGAAGAAACGTCCTGCCAAAAAGCGTTATAACCAGGCAAGCGGGGTCTGCTTTATTGCTGACACCTATTCAGGCTGTTCGCTTTCTTTTCTGCTGCATGTTTCTTGTCTCGGGTTTCTTTGAGATCGCACAGAATAGGGCCTGAACGCTCTGTTTGTATATCTTGGACATAAAACATTTAGATAATTTTTTAAATTTCATTTGGACACAGTAAGTCCATGATTAACTGAGATCAGCCTAACCCTATAGCTGGTCATTAGCATAAATAAATGAACTTTAACCCAAAGCCATGAATTTTGAGACTGGATCCTTTTAAATGAAATACTCTTAAATCCACTGAAATACTGTTCAGTGGACCATGACCGAGAGGCATACTGATCTTGTCAGGGCACAGTCAAACTGCGTGAAATTGTTCTTACATCTGTTCTGATTGTTGGAAAGTCGTCTCCTCTGCTGTGTTGTTTGGCCAAGTGGAAGCATAAGTTACTCTTTTCTCTCCTCAGGATGAAGTTTTGGCTTTGCGTGACAGCATTAATGGTCACTTCCAATTTTGTGTTCATAGTGTTTGTGAGTCAAGATGAAGCTCACCAGGTGCTGAAGGTCCGTAAACGCGCTAACCAGTTCCTGGAGGAGATTCACTCAGGGAACTTGGAGAGAGAATGCTTTGAGGAAACGTGCTCCTTCGAGGAGGCAAAGGAGATTTTCAAGTCGCAGGAGAAAACGGTGAGGACAATAACGTCAGGAAAGCAGCGAGCAATAGCTGAGCAGTGGGGAGGTACAAAGAAAAGCTCTCACCCAGAAGTTCTAGTGTCTGATAAAGCACAAGCCCGAAGGTCACTAGGGTGCTAATGATAAACAAACTTTATAATGTTGCTTATTATTATTAGCTAATTGTAAAAATGTAATTAAACTACCAACCAGAAACTAGGTATCCTTAACAAGAGAGCGCACGCCGGCTCTGAAGGCCTAGTGCCTCTTTTCTATCTGGTTCACTACTAGTTTAACCAGTTAACTGTCACTGTGATCTTGTGGTTAACTGGCTGGCCAAAGAGTTGCTCTCAGCAGCTAAGGGTGAACTCATAGCACCAGTCTAGATTAGAGAAGGAAAAATGCTCCAGAGACCGTTATTTCAGAATGCATGTAGTCAGTAGGGGATGTGTCGTGCCCTGTTAACTACGGTTTTTCTCTCTCGTGGTTGTTTCTTGCAGACGGAGTTTTGGTTTCATTACAAAGGTAGGCGAGGGGGAGATTGTTGGTTGCCACGAGGCGGCGTGGAGAGAAGATGCAGACAGATTGCGTGTCAGCTTCCTCGCTAAGCCCCGGAACCGTATGTGAGCAGGTAGCACAACGCGTGTTTCTTCTTCCAAACAGGTTTAAATCCCTGCAAAGAGAATCCCTGCAAGAACGGTGGACTCTGCAAACTGAAACACTACGATTATCTCTGTATCTGCCCCCCCCTGTTCCAGGGAAAGCTGTGTGAAACAGGTGAGTGCGGCTGTGCACACGGAGACATGAGCAATTGAAGAAATTCACCCTTCGGCACCCGAGTTCTCTCTGGTCTTTTCCATCCTAGTGCAGAATAAATGTGTGCGCACCAAGGCAGGTGTGAATGCGCACCGCCTGTGGAGACAAAATCCTACCGTGGGCGCACTGCTGATCAGTTGGGCAGCATTTGAATCCTGAGAGGCCACATAAGCGCCTGGCTTACAGAGAACACCGCTAGGCACCTGTGCGGGGTCTATGTGCAGGGCTGAGTGTTGCTTATTAACGCCACCGGCCTGGGTGATACGCAGCAGCGCTGGTGCCCTCCGACCAGCGAGAGAGACGCTGGGATCACAGAGCTGCGTGCCTGGAGGCTCCATTAATCAGCTTCCTCGACTGCGTCAAAGCTCAGCATGCAATAAGCTTTTTAAAGATACACCTATCTCATAGGGCTGGATGGGACCTCGAGAGGTCATGGAGTCCAGTGCCCTGCCCTCATGGCAGGACCAAGTACCATCCCTGACAGATTTACCCCAGATCCCTAAATGGTTCCCTCAAGGATTGAACTCACAACCCTGGGTTTAGTCGGCCAATGCTTGAACCACTGAGCTATCCCTCCCCTAAAGCCACACAGCAGTCGCAGGAACAACTGTAGAACAAAATGGCGGGGCTGCTGCCTTTTTAAAAAAAGCTGCTGACTCCTTCATTGAGACGTCATCTGCGGCTGCAAGCAAGGACAGGGAGTTACTGTGTAACCCACAGGCCTCCTGGGTGCGGTTCACTGTCCTGCAGAGCAGCACTTCGACCACTGAGAGAGAGCGCGCGAACGAGTCTGCTCTCTAGCCTGAGCCGAGAGCCAGTTGGCTTCCAGCTCATGCACGATGCTGCCGAGGCCCCGGGTTCGGTTCCGCCTGTCGGCGTCACAACTGTGCAAACTCAGTATCAGTGAGAACGGTCCTTTGTCCATCATGGAGCCCTCTGTGGTGCTTCATTGCCTCCCATTTGTCACCCGCTTCTCGTCACCTGCACACTGTGTGCAGCACCGCCCTGCCCCCAGGCGCTTACAGACTAATCGCAGAAGGGAGACTGGAAGAAGCACAGAGCGGGCTGTAAGGTCTCCCCAGCAGCGCCTGTCTCTCCCGCTGTCAGGACAGCACCTAGCACACCTTGCTGCAGCGACGGCCTCTAGGTGTGACTGTAATAAAGGGGCAAAGGGAGGGAAAGGTGACGCCCGTGGTTGGCAGCATGTGATGGTTCAGTCCATTTGTGGGACGTGGGGGTTTCTCTCCGCTGCCCCCCACTCTGAGCAGTTGATCGAATAGCTGGAAGCTCCCGGGCCCTTTCCTAGCAAGGACTAAGCACACCCTTGTGTCCCCCTGCAGAGAAGCTGGAGTGCTGGTACAAGAACGGCGGCTGCTGGCAGTATTGCCAAGACGCTGCCCTCCCCCTTGGGGTGGTGTGCTCCTGCGCGCAGGGGTAGGCGCTGGGGGAGGATGGGAAGAGCTGTCTCCAGTCAGGTAAGGGCTCCGGGATGCCGGCTTACGTCGCGTGATGAGCAGAACAGGGTCTCAGCCACTGCCCTTCCCTCTGGGCTGCCCACGTGCCCCAGTGAATCGATGGGAAAATCTGGGGCAGGACTGCAGCCGACGGGACCCCCAGCCGCTGGGGAAATCTGGCTTTTCCTCCACTGGGACCCTTTGGCTAAAGGCGACCCCTGACCTGGAATCCCAAGTACTCCCTGGGACTGGTAGTTTCGGTCGGCAGCACCTCAGGAGGGAGGAGTTCCCGGCGAGCGGGAAGCAGAGGACTCCCCGCCGTCCCAGGTGGAGCGAGCACGCCGCTGACTCAGCGCGGCCATGGGGTGCGCGGGGAGGTGCCAGACGCGGCCTCCCTTAGGACAGTGTTGGCGCGAGTCACGGGAGGTCGTGGGCAGGCACAGAGCTAGGCTCCCGTGGGGCAGGGCGTTCGCTCTAGGAGTGGGTGCTCACTGCACAGCTCTTTGCCTGCGCTTGGGCGCTGGGAAGGGGCTGCGGGTGGCCCAGGGCTCAGCAGAGCAGAATTAGCTTAGGGATCAACACGTGACACCTAAACCCACCGGCTGTTTTTCCTGTTTCTCAGCTCGTTACCCCTGCGGCCTGATTCAAAAGTCCACGCAGGCTGCGCAGGAAGTTGCCTCTAGGCCCAGTGGGAGGGTGGAGCAGGAAGCTCCCAAGCTCAATGGGAAGGTGAAGAGAGGTGCCCCCAGGTCCAACAGGACAGCAGAGGAGGGCACCCGCAGACTCAATGGATCGGTAGAGGAGGGCACCCCCAGGTCCAACAGGACAACAGAGGGGGGCACCCCCAGGTTCAATGAATCAGCAGAGGCGGGCACCCCCAGGTCCAACAGGACAACAAAGGGGGGCACCCCCAGACTCAATGAATCAATAGAGGTGGGCACCCCCAGGTTCAATGGGACGGCAGAAGAGGGCACCCCCAGACTCACTGAATCGGCAGAGGAGGACATCCCTGGGATCAATGGGACAGCAAAGGGTGGTGCCCCCACACTCAGTGAGTGGGTAGCAGGGGGTACTCCCAGGCTCAGTGGGTCAGCAGAGGGGGGCACCTCTGGGCTCAGTGAGGCAGCAAAGGAGCAGAATGTGCACGATGGCCTGACTCAGACCGACGCTGAAGGAAACCTGACAGGCGGGGACCTACCCAGCTGGACCCGTGTCTTCCAAACGGCAGAGCCCAGCGATACCAGGGTAACTGGAGGATCGTTCTGCCATCGTGGCAACTGCCCTTGGCAGGTACCGTTTCTCTTGCGTGCTGCATCTCCTTCCCTTCCCACTGCCTGCACTGGAGCACAGCAAGGCCCTCGGCAAGGTTTTGCCAAGGATCCCTGTTCTGGGCCAAACAGAACCTCATCGGGCCTCAATGTTTCTCTGCAGCTTCTCTCCGGGTGGCCCATGCTGCAGTTACCTCATTCCCAAATATATTCTATCTAGCTTAGAGCTTCTCGCTGTTCAGCCAGCCACTTCATTTTCAGTCTCCAGCGTGTCCTTCGCTCTCGATGACTCGTTTCCCCAGCGGTCAGTGGCAAGTATTTTCATGGCTCACGCTTTCGAGTTCAGCTTCTGCATGATCGGTGTGGGGAGTGGCTCTGTTTCTGCTCCACGCATCTTGCCTGATAGAACCATGGATTGGACCCCCCGGCTCTCCTCAGCGGGAAAGGCACGTGCTCTTTAGAGACACGTCTTTCATAGATCTTTATATTCACGCATAAGGCTGATGTCAGCTTGAAACAGCATATAGCAGCCAGTCTTTCATAGATCTTTATATTCACGCATGAGGCTGCTCTCAGCTTGAAACAGCATATAGCAGCCAACTCAGGGAGCAAGCCTCCTAACTCTTTCCTATCCTCTGTGGTTTTGTCCATATGCATAATGAAAATTAATTTAGCCTTCTGCCTGTGTGCGCTTCATCCGTATTTCTTACTTTACGTGTTGAGCTGCATCATCACTGCTTCTAGAACTCTCAGGTGTTTTTGGCAAGGTGGCCATGTCATCTGAACTTCTTCTGGATCCTGCCTTGTATTTAGACCAATAGATTAGTCAAGCGAGTTTCCCTTCAGTGGTGTCCAGCGATACATAACAGATAAGATGAAGGATTTCAGTCAGTATTTCTTCGTCTAACACCGTGCTGTCAACCTGATCTCTTCACCCACTCGGCAAGCAGAAGGACCCCTCAATTCGCTAGATACATGCAGTTGAGGCATTTTTAACATATCGCCTTCTCCTCTAAGGGCTTCCTCCAGCTCTTGTTAAGGCCAATGAAAATTGACTTCAGGAGTCTCAGATGGGCTTAATATGCCTAACTCCCTTAGGGTATGTCTATACTTGTACCCTAGTTCAAACTAGGGTGCAAGTGTAGACATACTCTGTCTCCTTTGAAAACTCCAGCAAAATAATGTCATATATGATCCATGAATGAAAATTACATCTAAATCAATGTGGAAAGTCCAGGAATGTTATACTCACTGCAGTAAAGATTTTTTTTTTTTTGTATTACTGTTTGAGTCTTTACTTAGTGGGCTCCAATTTTCTTTCTTCAGAATAACCACATGCTAACAATTGTTATAAGGTCTGGCGTTCCACTATTGCACCTGTGATTTCTTTTGAGTCCTTCCTGGGGGTTCATATCCTAAAACAGACTCCAAGCTAGTTCCATCCCGTTCTTCATTTTACTTTGCCACTTGCTGTGTGTTTACATGAACAGTACAATAGGGCCTGAGTCTCCGCTCTTTTAACCGCTCCATCGACTTGTGGGTCATCCCTCACGTTCCAAAGCACTGTACAGGGGTTCAGAATCAGGACCAAAATGGATAAGCATCAAGCACTCAAAAAATCCAGAAATACCAAACACTAAGGTTTAATGCCTGTCTTAATCATGGTCAGGAATAGCTGAGCTGGCTCCTGGATAAGCATCAAGCACTCAAAAAATCTAGAAATACCAAACATTAAGGTTTAATGCCCGTCTTTAATCATGGTCAGGAATAGCTACACCTTTATCCTGAGCTGGCTCCCTTTTTTAATTCTTTCTGATACTGTGTTTTAAAGGGGTATGAAGATTTGTAGCATTTTCCCACCAGCGATTTCTTTACCTCTTTAATTTTAATGTTTAAAACATCAGCAATCTCAAGTGTGGTTGCCCTTGGCTTTGGTTGCGGACTTGTTGGCCATTTCAGGGCTGTGTATTTTGAGCTTTCTCCACACTTTTAATTAAAGGGGGTGCGGCGTTGATTCCTTAGCCAAGTGAACATTCCACGCAGGGTAGACAGCACCTGGGCACTGCCCATCTGCTATTAAAAAGCAGCCTCACTTTTACCCTTCCCAGATCACCCTGAAGGGCAAGTTTGTGTTTTTCTGTTTTGTTTGTTGGGGATTTTGCTGAGACACCTGTGAGACGCAGGCTCAGTGCTCACGATTTCCACTCACCTAAAATGGAAGGTACCCGGGGTTATTTCCAATATTTGTGTTTCTTGCCTTGTCCCTTAACTTTCCCTCTTCTTGTGCAGCTTCACACATGGGATTTTTTAAACTAGGGGGCTCTGTTTCTGGGCATTGACTTACCTTCCTTTTGTTCTAGCATCACCCAAAGCTTGACAGCTAGTGCTGGCGTTCGCATTAGATTTGTTTCTCTGCAAGACTTGCAAATCCATTTTGGGTATCACCTTCTGCTTGAATTTCTACCCTGGTCTGGTGGTGGTTCTGCTCTGTCCATACAATCTTATCACGTTCCATAATCCCACGCCTTGGAAACATGCACCCGAGGATCATCACACAAAAATGCTGCATCATAAAGTTAATTATGTTCTCTGGGGAACTGCTACATTGCAGTAAGCCCTGAAACAATCCCCATGTGCTCGCTCTTGTTTTTTCACCTTAGGTTTTTATCCAAACGAGCCGAGGTTATGGAGTCTGTGGCGGGAGTTTAATCAGCAGCCGCTGGGTGGTCACTGCTGCCCACTGCCTTGACATTGTTAGGCCACATCATGTTACTGTAGGTGAGTGAACGTGCAAGTGTAAAAGTCTTTACACTTCAAGACACAATCTGAAAACATGGGGCTGCTGGGAGAAGTGGCTGCAAAGGCATCTGGGATAGTCCAGTTCTTTGAGTCTCCCGGCTCAGGTTGTGTTTCTTTCTAACTTCCCATCCTGCAAATGCAGTCTGTGCTGTGACGATGGTCAAGGAACCCACAAGCAGGAGCTGAGTTACTTTCAGCTTTGAGTATCTGGCTCTTATTTCTGCAGCTGGTAGGGCAGCCCTGCGGTTAGCAGAGGCACTACTCGTAAAACCAACCTCAGCCCAAGTTTGGCTGTTCTTAAGCTTTCCTGCAGGACCTTCCAGCATGTGCACCTAGAGTCCTCTGAGCAGATCATGCTAGTTTTTCTCATGGTATAAGATGGTGCAAGTAACATCATATGGGTGTGTCCATTTTGGCAGCTCGTAAACTGCAGCAGAAACGGGCCCTATTACTGGAGGAGGAGGAGGAGGAAGAAGTTAAGTCTGTAGTTGAAGCACTGGACTAGGACAGGAGAGCCTTGGGTTTAATTCCCAGCTTTGCCAAAGATTTCTTGGGCGGTGCCTCAGTTCTTCCCCTGTAAAATGAGGACCGTACTTACTGGCCTTTACAGATAAATTCACTAGTGGCTGCATTAGGAGATATGAAAATTCCTAGTTAGGATAGCTCTGTAGTCCTATGAAGAGTCAAGTCACCTTGTTAAACAAAAGACAGGACTATGCAGCACTTTAAAGACTAACAAGATGGTTTACTAGGTGATGAGCTTTCGTGGGCCAGACCCACTTCCTCAGATCAAATAGTGGAAGAAAATTGGCACAACCATATATACCAAAGGATACAATCAAAAAAAGTGAACACATATAAAATAGACAAATCAGATTTTAGAACAGAGGGAGGATGGTGGGGGGGAGGTTAATGTCTATGAGGTAATGATATTAGAGGTGATAATTGGGGAAGCTATCTTTGTAATGGGTAAGATAATTAGCATCTTAGTTAAGGCCCATTCGTAAAGTGTCAAATTTAAGCATGAATGACAGGTCAGAGGCTTCGCTTTGAAGTCTTGTGTTAAATTTCTTCCCCCTTAGACTGGAGTAAAGTTTTCTTGGGGAGGAAACTGAATACCTGCAACACTGGCAACTTGACTCTGTATCCTCTGCTCTTAATCTATCCATAGACATGACATTGCTAAGGAGGAGTGATTTCAATAGCTGCTTTAAACTGGCTTGTTTCCATCAAGTCCACCAACTATACCCATGATTATTCTTTGGTCTCTTGACGGAACAGTTAAATAGTGCCACTGAAAAGAATGTTTGATTGTATTTTCACCGTCTGGTATTGCTAGTCAGTTTCTCTTTAAACATACACTACATTTTTCTCCCTTAAACTTAAACTGCACTATAAATTATGGGTTCGTCTACACTGGCCCCTTTTCCGGAAGGGGCATGTTAATTTCACCTATCGTAGTAGGGAAATCCGTGGGGGATTTAAATATCCCCCGCGGCATTTAAATAAAAATGTCCGCCGCTTTTTTCCGGCTTTTAAAAAAGCCGGAAAAGAGCGTCTACACTGGCCCCGATCCTCCGGAAAAAGTGCCCTTTTCCGGAGGGTCTTATTCCTATTTCAAAGTATTTTTATTTAAATGCCGCGGGGGATATTTAAATCCCCCGCGCATTTCCCTACTACGACTCATGAAATTTACATGCCCCTTCCGGAAAAGGGGCCAGTGTAGACGTAGCCCTTGTGCGAGGGTTCTTTTGCAAGAACATGTCCACACTGCCACGTGCTTTTGCGCAAGAATATCTATGGCAGTGTGGATGCTCTCTTGCGCAAGATAGCTCTGATGGCCATTTTAGCCATGGGGCTTTCTTGCGCAAGAAACCCCTGTTGTGCATCCACACTGCCCTCTTGTGCAAGTGCTCTTCCGTGAGGGCTTACACTTGATAGAAAAGAGCGTTGCTCTTGCGCAATAATCCCTCTCTTCCCACGCTTTACTGTAAACCTTCTTGCGCAAGAGCAGGCAGGCAGTGTGGACAATCTGCGGCAGAACGGCCGTTCTTGTGCAAGAACTCGCCAGTGTAGACATAGCCAAGAGGTCCAGTGTTCATTTGAATAGAGAGAGGGAGCAGAATTTTAATTCTCATTCCAACTAGTTTTGCACCTGTAGTTAAACTGTTGTTGGTGTTTTGAAATACATCTAAATTCTTCAAGAACATGGTGGCGTGGACCCAAGACCCTCTCACGCTAAACAATTTCAGGTAGTTTTCCTCCCCCATGCCACGGTCTTGTCAGCCTGTCATCTCCACAGGTGGTTTCACTGGTGGAGAAGCTTATTTTGATTTAATTTGGAAGATAAAAGTATTAATTCACTTAGATAGTTGCTTCCCCCCCAAGGCTACGTCTACACTGGCCCCAAATTCCGGAAAAGGGATGCAAAGCAGGTAAGTCAGCATAGGGAAATCTGCAGGGGATTTAAATATCCCCCACAGATTTAAATAAACATGTCCGCTGCTTTTTTTCCGACTTGGGGAAAAGCCAGAAAAAAGCATCTAGAGTGGCCTGATCCTCCAGAATAAAGCCCTTTTCCGGAGGATCTCTTATTCCTACCTGAATAAGCGGCGGACATGTTTATTTAAATCCCCCGCGGATTTCCCTATGCTGACTTACCTGCTTTGCATCCCTTTTCCGGAATTTGGGGCCAGTGTAGACGTAGCCCAACAGTCTTACAGAAGGGCTTTAGAATTCTCTAACAGCTTTGTCTGTTCATCTGCAGGAGACTTTGACAAACACCAAAGAGAAGTGAAAGAACAGAAGCTTGAAGTGCAACAGAGCTGGGTACATCCACACTATGACTCAGACAACTACAACGGCGACATTGCTTTGCTCTATTTGAGCAGTGACGTTGTATTTAATGAATATGTACTTCCCATTTGCTTGCCCAGTCCTAACCTGGCAACCTTGTTGACTGCAGAAGGGACTAAGGGGATGGTGAGCGGATGGGGTTCCACACATGCCAGGGGTCCTGGGACGCGCTTCCTCATGAAAGTCAAGCTGCCCATAGTCAGCATGGAAACGTGCAGGCAATCGACAGCGAAACTCATTACTGATAACATGTTCTGTGCTGGCTATGCAGACAAAGCCCAGGATGCCTGCAAGGGAGACAGTGGAGGCCCTTTTGCTGTGTCTTACCGTGACACTTGGTACCTGCTAGGGATAGTCAGTTGGGGGGAGGGTTGTGCTGAAGCAGGGAAATACGGTGCCTACACACGAGTCGCCAATTATGTACCCTGGATAAAGGAAGTTTTTGAAAATGTAGCAGAGGCAGGAGGATTTCTCCCCTCGCGCTGACGACCGTTTCTAAAACATCAAAAATGCCACCTGCGTGCTGAGATGCTTCAATTCAATACAGAGTTTGCTTCATGTCCTGAACAAAACATGTTCAGTCAAGACCAATACTGCAGTAAGACCACCTCGGTCTTGGCGATGAGAAAACTTTTATAAAGAAATGATCCTGTCAGTCCTGCAATCCTACCCAAAACCGAGTTGCTGCTAGGACATCACACCAACAGTCTACACATGCATGAGTGGCTTGTAGAAAGCGACATCACACCAACAGTCTACACATGCAAAGGCTTGTAGAAAGTAGCATAGGAAGTTGTTGTTTTTAATAGTACTCAGTATGCTCCGTTAGCCGTGTATCTACACAAACTACAGAACACACAAATCAAGTGGTTTGTAAAACTGGAAAATTTTGCAATAGTTTAGTTTAACTTTAAAAAGTAGCTTATTAAATCTAGTCTATTGAGTATACCTTGTCATTCTGCTAATAAATGTAATAAGTATTTGCTGGGCCTGAGACTTTGGAATACAAACAACTGTACTGGAAACATTGACATGGATGGTTTAACAAAAAGCTTTAAAGATTGTGTTGTCTTTATTCTGTAGTGGTACAAGGCAGGAAATAGCCTTGTTCTCCAGCTGGTCCACTCCATGTGACAGTAGTACATTCGGTTCACAGTTGAGAGAATTATGATAGTTCACTATGTTGACAGTGGTGCAGTTGAGTTAATCACCTCATGGGATTAATTACTGAAATGTAGCAGCTTCCAAATTCAGCAAGTTTTATAAGACTAACAAACATATTTCTTGACTCAAATGCAATC